CTTCTCGCGCAAGCCGGCTGTCTCCCCTCGTCGCTTACCGGCGCACAGGAAACTCTCGTTTTCAAGACGGAAACACGTCCGGATATCTCGACGAGGAGGAGGAGGAAGGAGACGGTGTGCAGGGAGGCGTGCGCCGAAGCGTGGACGGAGTGGATGCGACGCGAGATTTCTCTCGTCGACGCGCAATTACTCGCGGATTAAATCGACAAACTCCTCGAGAGTTGATTTCGCCGAAAGTGCACTTGTCGCGCCCGGCTTCGCGAAAATCGTGCCTCGTTTTCTCTCTTTCTGTGCTTCTCTCTTTTTCCCTTTTTTTCTATACGTACATAGGTCGCTCGGCTATCCGGTCGGAAATCGAGCGATTCCCCTGCTCCTCCTTTTTCCGGATATCTTCGGCGCTATCAGCAGCGCGATAACGACGTGGACGTTGATCGGCGGTCAGTATGCAAACGTATGCAACGGAGGATACGTCGAGGCAATTTCCTCGTTGGCTTTCGGGGATCGTCGCGACGTGAGCGAAATTGCTCGAAATTTTTCTTTCAAATCGACCCATTTCCCCCGCTGCACCCGCCCGCGCCCGCGCGCATGCGAGCGCGGGTCGTCGGTCACGCCGCGCCGGAGCGCTTCCGCGCGCGAGCGAGCGGACGCGCTCCGGAATTTATCGCGGAAGTAAAAGGGGTTCACGATCGCGCGCGGAGCACGAGGCACGTTTATTAATAACCGGAGATACACACATGTGTGCACGCAGACACCCACACACACACACACACACACACACACACACACGGTCCTAGAGGGTCGGAAATCGGGACGACGACAATTGACGGTCGACGAGCGACGCGGTGCGACCGTCGTCGCGGTTTCCCGCAAGAATCGCCTCCTCTCTCCTCCAGCCTCCGCCGAGGCTCGAAACGCGGATCATTTTGGCCGCAAAATGGAAGTAGCAAAATGGAGCCCGGTCGATGAGGCGATCCAGAGAGTACCGTCTCGTTGCTCATTTTCCTCCCTTGCCCCGGACTGATTTATTCAATTATCCTGGATACTTTGCTCACGAGCGCGTGCGCGTGCACGAGAGAGAGAGAGAGAGAGAGAGAGAGAGAGAGAGAGAGCAGGTAAATCGATCCTCTCTTTGTCAAAGGTTCCAGTCGGCGGCGATAACGGGAAAAGCAAATCGTATCGCCTCTCACTCTGCCGACGTGCCCGCCGACGGAGAAGGGGCGGAAGTTCGTCCGCGCGCGATGCCGTATGCGTGCTCGCCGCTACGAGTGCACGTACGCGCGAGTGGTTACGAAGGATCGATCGATGGAAAGGTGAAGCCGGGCGGGAGAGGAGGGAGAGAGAGTATTTGCACCGCGGCGGAAAAAATCCGGCATTCCAGTGCGGTTGTTCGCGAAACGCAGCCAGCGATCCGTGCGACGCCGTGCAACGGCGACGTACGAGCCTGCGTTTATTAAGTCTTTCTCACACCATTATCGCTCGCCGATGGATCCGCGGGGGGAAATTCGTGTGCGCAATAATGCCGTAATAATTGCCGAACGCGCGGTAATGGCGCGCAATATGCTCTCGCGGTCGCCGCGCGGACTCTCCGCGGGGAAATTGTATATTACACACTTGCTGGAGACATTATTTTATATAATAACAATTATATATGTTAATTGCACAGTATATCGAAAAACTACCGTTTACACCGGCGATGGACTTTTTGGCGGCTGAGCTTTTCAAATTCTCTCCCACTCCTTCTCTCTCGAGACTCATTTTCAATAAACGAGGTATTTTTTACTTATGGGTAATAATCGAAAATTATTCTCGACAATTATGTTACTTGTTGGAGTACACAGATTATACAAGGACAATAATACGGAATAATGCGGCTTGCACGTCGAAGAAACATTGTCACACTCATGATGTAAATTAGGCTTTCCGGCTGTGTTTTTCAGTCTTCTCTCCTTCTCTCTCTCTCACTCTCTCTCTCTCTCTCTCTCTCTCTCTCTCTCTCTCTCGTCCGGGATTCATATTTCATAAGCGGCTCACTTAGCTCATCGAGCACAAAGTCAAAGTCAAAGTCATAGACGGAGACGGGAGCGTCGAGACTGAAAGACTCCGCGTCGACTTTGTGTTTCATCGAATGTCGATGCTTATCGCTTCATCTCTCCTTGTCCTCTTGAGGCATAACGCGAAATATGACACTCGTTTGCGAGCGGGCGACAGAATCGTGAAAAAGTAGCAGCGATCAGGACGCGGACGAGTGCGAGAACCTGTTCCGTACGAAATGCGCGGGGAAGACGTAGCACACACATACACACACACACACACACAGACAGAAACACATGCGTACGATCGTACGCTCCCATTCATTCTCCAGCGCGATTGTGTTGCGTGCGGCGTTCATTGGCGGCGGTCCGCTCGATTGAGAAATACGGTGTGAACGGGACCTTACGCGAGAGCGTGCCGTTACTTAAACGCCAGCGCCGCTTTCAGGGAAAGTCTCTCAGACCGCAGATTTGCAGCAACGACGGCCTAAAGAAATTCTCAAACGGCCGCTCTTAGAGCGGCAGAGCGCGCACGGCGCAGGCAAGGCCGAAGGATCGACTTCCGATTTCGAAACCGAGCCGCAGTGTCGATCGTTTCGCGGCGGCGCCGCGGCCGGCCGCCAGGTATCTGGGATATCTGGTGCTTTCCAGCAACGCGGTATCTGTGTCAAACATTCGCACTCGCGACTCTACGCCGCGAACGCGCGCCGGAACAGCCGCGAATATCGGCGTATGTATCGTATCGGGTTGTTCGATCGGCTTGCAGGAATTTGTACGCGCGGCTCGCCGAAGCTGCCGCTTTTACTGTAGCCAGGCGTGATTTTGCTCAAGGATATATTATTCATTAAGAATATATTAAGAATATATATTTCTCTCAATTATCCTTTCAATTAGCACAGATCATACGGAAAAAAAACCGTGAATTTTTTTACGTCTAACTGAAGCGGGGGACACGATTTGAACAATTCGAAGCTGATACTTTTATAGTCAGGCGTCGTTTTATCCGATAAATTTCCCGACCATGTCCCGACCATTTCCCGACAGGAGACCGTACGAAAAAGGAAACCTCCGGTCCTCGAGGAAAGAGTAAGGAAATCCGTGAAGAAGGCGAGGAAGAAGGAGGCAGGAAAAGCCCGGCGTAAAGAGCGACAACTGTCGAAACAGAACGCATGCTCGCGGCCGATTCTAGAGAGGGGCAGAGAGGCGGGAGGTTCTCCCGCGAGAGCGAGAGAGAAAAGGAGAACCGGTATTTACCGTCGGAAAGTGCCAGGTCCTAATTTGCTTTTCTATTTACGAGCGAGCCGCCGTAGCAGAACGGAGCCGCCGCGCGCGCTGAATTGACAACACGAAAAGCACCGCGCCGCCGCGGTGAAATGACAGCTCTCGTGACAGTAGCCGTCGGTCGGCACTTCCGCCGCTCCCCGCGTCCTGCTTCACTTCGGCGACCGTTTCCGAGGAGGTGCCGCTCGGCAAATTGGCCTGCTATTTCGGGGGAAAGGGAGGGAAGCACCGCGATGCGGCGCGATCGCGACATTAAAAGACCCCGACAAATTCGCGGAGTGCTCCTCTCCGTCGCCCCCTCTGCCGCTCCAACCCCGCTGTGCAATCGGCGCTGTAGCCGCGTAATTAGCCTGTAATTTGCGTCCCTCCGTGTCGCGAAATGTCATCCATCCGGGACACGCGCGATTTGACACGCGCCGTTACGAAACGGCAATACTTTGACAGCTGTGTAATCCCGATACCGCATTAAGTTGTTAGGGCGACTGCGAGGGAGAAAAAAGGAGAGCCGAGAGAGGCGAAAGAAGAGGCGTGCAGCCGCGGCGACGACGGAGACGCTGGAGTGACACCTTGCATCAGGTCGAAATCAATCGCGACGTCCGTTCCCGATCCCCCTTTTCTTCGCGCTTGCGTCTCACCTTCGATTATTCCGCTTCCGTACGAATTTTGTCGCGAGCTCTCGTAACTGTCGTAACGTCGCGATCGGCGCGATCGAGCGAATAATTCGCCCGCGACCTGCTGTGGTCTTCTCCCGCGAAATAACGAATTTCGCGCAATTATCGCGCCGCGCGGCTCTCGCCATGCTCTCGAGGAGCTTCGGCGCTGCTTGGCTTCGCAAATAGATTTCATCCTCGAGACGGCGTTTCTGATATCGAAAGGGATCCCCCAGGGAGCCGTCGGAGCAGCCCGGTCGAGTGTCGGCTGTCGGCCCGGCGATCTCCGTCGCGGGGATCTTCGAGGAGAGCGAGACCTCCGGAAACAGACGGTAGGCGGAACAGGGTATTTACGGTCGTCGGGAACGCTGGCATCGATTATCTGAACGGTTGGAGGCGACGATAAAGCGGGGGGGAGGGACGCATCGGAGGTGATAAAGTTTATCGTTTACCAAAGAAAACGAGCGGCGCCGCTGAGAGCGCAATGTAGTTATTTCGGTTGGGATCCAGACACGAAAGCGGACGAATGAACTAACGAGCGAATGAACGACCGAACGACGAAGCCAAAAGCGACGAAGCCAAGGCCGCCCTCGTATATTAATCCGAAGGACTCGCGGGGCATCGGCGGGACAGATACACCCCCCGCGCCGGATATTTATACATGTAATTCCCGACAATTAACGTGTCCGCGGCGACGTTTCTCTACCGCGTGCTCGCGAAGCGATAATTGCCAGTCTTCGGCGTTTTTTCGCACCGCGCGTTCGTAAAGCGAAATATTTATCACGGTGCGCGCTCTCACCGCACCGCACATGGCGCCGCCGATCAGCCCGGCTTCTAGGACGATGTCGATAAAGCGAAGCGACGCGTACCGAGCAACAATAAACTTTAACTACGGACGACGAGCGCGCGATAACGCGCTTTACGATCGGCAGCCGCCGCCGCCGCCGCCGCCGCGTATCTCTTCCCCAGCTTGAAAACGCGCCGTTGAACTCGCGCGACGTTCATTCACGACGGCCGCGACGGCATCGCGGGAAGTTACCTTGTTGCAACGTAGCCACAGGATCACTGAGTTGGCGTATCTCAGGGGTCCGCTCAGCGCGCAGCCGCTGCTGGCGTGTTGCGCCCTCAGCAGCTCGGAGTGCGTTTTCCCGTGCTGGTAGAAAATCTCCAGCGACCTGAAACAGACACGACTCCGGATCTTCGCTAATTCCGCCTGTGGAATCCGCGGGAGGCGAATTATGCACGCGTCGAGGCCTGGCTAAGGCTGGATTCTCACCGTCCGCATTGACGCGTCTCCCTACCCCCCCCCCCCACCGCTCCCTCCCTTTCTTGCCCGTCAATCCTCCGTCAAAACGTTCTTCGACGCCTGTGTGCATCGCAATATTCACGGTACTCGTTGCCGTCACGCGTCTCAATCATTTCTATTCCGACGGGTTTTGACGGAGGACCGACGGGGACTCTCGTCCGCCGCCGTCTAGACAATTATGAGAATCTAAGTGAGCTCTTGTCGACTGATTGATTTCTCGTATTCTTGATATGTTTTCGTAAAACTTTATCCTTTCATCAACTTTTCTTGAGTCGCAAGTGACGTTGTTCGCGGGCTGAAAGATTGGTCGAATTAACGTGACGCGCGCCTCGGTTGAGGAGAGAAAAATCAAAATTTTCTGCTCTTACGGACCAAATTGTGTTTTTAAAAAATTAGAAAAATTTTTAGAAAAATTCCGTCTCTCTCTCTCTCTCTCTCTCTGTTTTTAACCAAGACGCACTTGATACGTTCACACGTCACTTGTCAATTCAACCAAGCTTCCTTCTCCGCGCTGTAAACTGGGAAATTGCGCGTTGTAACAAAGAGACTTTCCACTGGCGCGTATAAATAAACGAAGAAATAATATCGGGATAAATAATATCGGGATCTCTCGTCAAGAGCAAGTCGACCTGTCGTCGTCGCCGTCGTCGTCGTGTCGACCGTCCTCGTAAACTCGTCATTCACGAGAGCGCGTGTCCATTTAATTGTTTCCTTTCCCTCTTTTTTTATACCAAAGCTACACTAAACTTTGCGATTTATGCGTTTCATAAGTGGCCGACGTTACGTTCGCGCGCGACGCGACATTTTTCGAAATTTACCGAGCGTCTCGGCGCCCGCTTCCTCCTCTTCTTCCCCTTTCCCCGAAATCGACCACGTCGAAGTTAATCCCAGATAAAACTCGCGCGTGTCGGCGATTTACGTCGAGCGAGAAATGACCGTGCGGAAACACATTCCACAATTTAAACGCCCGTGCCCACCGTGAATTATCGTCGGTCCGTTCCGCCGCTCTCGCGCGCGCGCGCGAGGACCGGATTATTAAAGGCTCGTTCGTCAAACGCGATCAAAGAGCCCCGAAACGCGGCACTCTCTGCCTTCGTAATTAGCGATCGTCTTCGCATTCGCCGCCGCCGCCGCCGCCGCCGTCGTCGTCATCGCCGTCCTCGTCGTCGGCGGCGGCGGTGGTGGCGGCGGCGCAGCGTTCGTTAATTAAACGGCGTATCGCGCGCCGTAACGACGCTCTCGTCGCGCCCCAGGAACATCGTCGTCGGCTCTCGGTGGCGATGTGATGCGCTCGCGTCTCACGGTTCACCGGCCGCGATCGGCGCGGCGAGATTTTCATTTCCGGCCGCGAAAGCACGACGAGAAAGAGAGAGAGAGAGAGAGAGAGAGAGGGCGGGGGAGGGGGGGCGAGACAAAAAACAGCACAAAAGCGCGTATTGGGGGGGGGGGGAGGGCGACGGGGCATGACAAATATCTGACAAGTGCCGCCGCGTGTATAAATAAACGCACCGGCCAGCCGGCGATGGGAACAAAAGTCTCTATAAACGCCGCCCGGTCGGGGCGATCTCCAGAATTAACGGTCACCCCGACCTCCCCGATCGACGACAGCGACGGCGACGACGGTCGCCTAATTCCGTGGCTGGTTAGCCCGAGGAAACGGGATATCCCGGCGCGGCGCGAGCGACGCGGTCCGAAGGTTGACTTAAACTCGGGCGAACTTGTCGTCGACGACGACGACGACGACGACGACGACGACGACGACGTCGGGTCTGTGAAACGCGCACGTCGCTTTCTATTTCCGTGATGCTCGTCAGCGTCTCGTACGGCGCGAGCCCGACTCGAGAGGTGAGACTCCGGAGGGCGCGAGGAGAGGAGGCGGCGGCAGGGGCAGGGAGGGCGAGAGCCAAGGGGAAAAAGGATGGAAATTAGACGCGCGCGCGCGACGCGGTGCATCGTTCTCGGCGTAGAAGCGGCGCCCGCCGCGAGGAGGAGGTAAACGACCGAATGTCGCTCTCTGGCAATCGCGCGAAATTTATTGGTCTAGGTTAGAGAAGCGCAGACTCGCTCGCGCTCGCGCACGCGGAAGCGAGACGGACGAGCTCGAGTATCGGAGGAGGAGTGTCTTTTGCGCGCTCGAGGCTTTTTTCAGCGACGATCAGGGAATGTCGGATCGGAGTGCAGAGAATGCGCGCGAAGGCGATACCGAGTGAGAAGCAAAAACGGTCGCGCTGCGAGGAGAGGTGCGAATCTCGCGAATTTGCGGCTGTAATCGCGCATGGTGGACGCGAATCGGCGAGCCGTCTTCGTGTCGCGCGAGTGTCGCTGCGAGCGCGTCAGCGAGCGCGTAATAATCGTATCGTGTCTCTTTCGCTCTACGGCGACGGGCTTTCATCCCGGTGAGCCTCGCATGACGCGTCCCGTGTTGAAGAATCCGCTACTTCGTCGTTCTCAGGAGAGAGACGCGCGAGCGACGAGTGCGAGAGGAACACATTGGCGATCTCGCGTCGCCCCGAAAAGGCTTAAACATCCGGCCGCGCGTGTTACCCTAGGCGATAATTCATCTCGACGCTCCGCTCGATGATTACCGGCCACTTATCAGCACGGGCCAATGCCACGTCTTCGATGGCGTGGGGAACGACGAGAGGAGCGCGAAAGCGATCCTCTCGTATCAACGATCGCGCGTTACGACACGGACCAAGGAGTGTGTTGCTCTTTTTCTGTCATCGGAGATCGCCCGGAGTCGTAAATAAATTGTCGATGCACGCGCAACGTCGCGAATGTGACTGACGATAATTGATGAGACGGTGACTCCGCGCGGTCCTTCGTTACGTAACGCGACGATACGCGCGCGAGAGCGCGCGAGAGCTGCGCGTATTCTACGGAGCACTTTCGGATGCAAGCGGTACATTGACTGAAGCGATGCTCGATTTCATGTTGAGACGCGCGTGATTTATTAACACACGCTCACTAATTGTCAAGCATTTAGCTTATTAGGCTATTCGATGAATATTTCCGTGAACATTATGCTAAAATTCCTGTTAAAAGTTTATATTGGCCGGATAAAGTCTTCAAACTATTTTAATATTCCAATAAATATTGTGTCGAAATTAATATCCCTCTCTCCGCGGAAATTAGTATTTCGTCTTGAGTAATTTTTTTCTTTTCACGTTCATTTCAACTTCAACGGCCGATCTTTCGCCGGTCGATGTTAATATTTGACCTTTGCGAAAACCAAACGGAACTTGTAGACGCAGCATCTCTCTCTAAAAAACGCGAATTGACGTTTCCGGTGAGCACGACCGAAAACACCGAAGACGTCGATCGTCCGCACGTGCGCGGTTCGCCGGTCTCGCTGCCAGGCAAAATTCGCCCTTCGATCCAGGCTCCCTCTCGAAAGCGCCCCTCCCGCCGGCGAATTTATTCCGTTCCGTTCGGCAATTTGTTATTCCGCGCTGTAAAATTCAGCCCTAATTACTGTACAGCCGCGACTTTCTCTCTCTCTCTCTCTCTTTCTCTCTCTCGATATCCAGGATCTCGAATCTCCCCCTTCGCGTCTGACGCTGCAGTTCTCAATTCAATTACCCGGCGCGGCTATAGAGTCCCTGAGAAGTCGCCGAAGCGAAAAGCTGCGGAGCGGAAAGCCCCGGAACCGTCCCGTCGGCCGTGCGGAACGCCTCGATGGCTCTCGATGTCCTCGCCAAATACGAAATTTCCGAGACGCGCGGCATCGAGGGAGGAGGTTCGGCCGGCGGAGGTTCATCGGCCGAATTATTGAGGCGAACGCCGGGCTTAATCTGCCGGACGCAAAGTTCAGCGGACGGCCGTTCGCATAGAGATAGACGTTCGAGAGGGGGAAGGACGGGAGAGAGATGCTCATTAAATAATCTCTGCTTTAATTAAGCCGGCTCATTACGAAACGCCGCGCCGCCGCGCAGATACCGGTATCGTCGGCAGGCACATTCGCGCCTCTATCGTTGACATTCGTCGCGGTGGTCCAGATTTCTCGCACAAATTGTACATCGACAACTTATCGGCGCTTTTAACGGGGCTATCGTCTCGTTTTCTTCTTGTTCTTTTTCTTCAAGATGAGAAAGAGGGAAGACGTGTCTTTTTTTCTGAATGACAGCGAAAATGCGACGGAGAGAGCTCCTGACGCTCGGCGTAGCATCCGCTGGTTTTAGTAGCTTGGCGATATTTCGACTGGAAGCCGCGGACGAGACAACGAAACGACGACGCCGAGATGGAGGATCGCCTCGGCGAGCGAGAGAAGAGAGATGAAAATTTCTCGAGCGATATCCCGTTCCTCCATTTCGATCCGCATCGCGGTTTCGATTCGCCGTTTCTTACTGTATTCCCTCCCTTCGTGCGGCGGGCCCGCAAATCGTCCGGCATCGATTGTGCAATTCTTAGCGGCGCGCGTAATCGACGGGCACTGGAAAAGACGGGCGGAACGGCGAACGAAAAAGGCGACTTTCTCCCGGGACAAGTCAATTTAAAGACACCTCGTGGCGCGTCACTCCCGCGACGTGCAATTCCGCCCCGTCTGCTGACCGTCGCTTTGCACGTCTCTCGAGCGAAAGCCGTCGATCTGAAATTTCAGATTGTCCCCCAAGTTCACCGACTGAGAAGCGGCATCTGAAGATAAAATTCGGGAGTCCGCGATCTAATATACTCCAGATCGATTATATAACAATTGAGTCTTGATTCATTTAGTCTAGTCGTGTCTAGTTGTGTCTCACAAGGAAAGGGTAGGGAACCCGGAAATTCAAAAAATTACGAAACTTTATGTGGAAGTAAAGTAGTCGACCCGTAATGCAAAACTATTTTTTGTTCGTGCGGAATTCTAGCCCGAGGGGGTGAAACCACTTC